CCCCAAAACCCCAAAACCCCAAAACCCCTCATAACATCATAATACAATCATAAGTATATTATCAAATAAATATTCCCTCAAAGTTATCTTTGTTATAATATCAACTAAATTCCTACTTTATTTTTTCCAAAAGCATTTCTTATTTTATGGCCTAATTATTAATCTCAGGAAGTTTGATGCCATTATTATTCCTCTTTCTTGTCTAGAACAAAGTTAACTCCTCATACCTCATTTATGATATTTGTTCTCTATCACTTTAGATCGACTCCTTTACTTTTTTTAGTTTATAACTAGCATTACTTTGGAACTTTCTGATCAGCTGATCATTTTTCATGTTTTCTTAATCCTTAAAATACTTATCTATACCACTTATGTCGATCTTTTCGAGATCTTCAATGTTGAAATTGAAATGATTACCGAGCTAATTTTTAATCTATCTTTAATCTGCTGTTCGATGATGGTTTACATGATTCTAGGAATGGCTCTGAACTCCATCAATTCTATGGGTTCTTGATTGACCCTCATTTAACTATAGTTATTTCAAATTATTGAGAACATTTTCACTTCGTTTACTTTTGGTAAAATGGTTCTGTTTAATATCTTGAATACTTATATCCTCTAATTTTGAAGGGGAGGGCGACCTCGTTTGATCTATAGTAGAATAATTATTCATACTTGACTTAGTCTGCATACGCTTAAATTCCTCTTATTAGTTATTTTATTACTCTTAAAAATGACTTGAACTGTTATGATTCTTGTTTAATATAGAATTGAGTTCGTATTTAAAAAATGCATATTCATCAACTACTTATGATGATATGTTTTTCTCAATAATTTCAGGCTTAATCAAAACTTGAAATAAATCTCTGAGATATTGATTAATAAAACATGTAAATACTTTAATGTTACAATCCTAGGAATTATAGACTGATACAATGAATCCTTCAACCCCTTGATAGCATCCATAAATTCTCTGTAGGTGATCAACTTTGTCTTATCTAGTTAATAAGTTTAAGCTCTCATCATTACTATCTACTTATTCTTCATGTTTTTCCTATTAATCAAGTAAACTTCAATCATCATATTATAAAATTACATTTTCATATTCATTTCCTGCTATCATTGGTTGAACTAATGCTAAATCATACCAAGTACGAAGTTAAAATTCTAATCTGCTTTTTTTTCGCATATCAGTTATTTATACTGGAAGTCTTATTTAATTTAATTTTCTTGTCTGAATAGAAATATCTTCTCAGTCTTTAGAAAAATTTTGTGTATATCCTATTGCTTTATACATCCATCTTCATCCTCATCAAATATCTCAAAAAGCACTATACAGAATAATCAATTTATCTTTTACACTAAATCTTTTTGTCATAAACGATTCAAGCTATCAGAATTAGCCCTATTATGAAATCAACTATATCAATCTCCTATTTTCTAGCAGGTATTACTTGATCTTAATGGCTATCTAGTGGTTTTTTGTGAAATCCTATTATTTTTAATTATCGAGTTAATACTTTCAAAGAAGAGCTTTAAAATAAACTGAGTTTAAGGGGTTTAATGAAGCTATTTTTCCATAATTTTTTCGAAGTCACTTCTAGTGAAAGTTGCTAAAATGTATTTAAAAATCTGAATATTACTAAATTATGTTCCTTTATGTTCTATAAATGCTTTGCTAATGTTTTTAATCTTTTCAGAGTTAACTAAATCTTTTTAAACAATTAAATTTTACTTTGAGACAGAAACTCTTCATATTCATGCTATTCTGGCACACTTTACTTCTTTTTATTCTAGATCAACGAGTTCTTCATATTTCTAATTTCACTCTGAGGTAATTTTCTTAATTTGCCTTAGTTTTAAAATGGCGAGAATGTAACTCTAGACTGACTATTATTCTCCTTTCTCAATATAGAAACTACATTCCCTTTAATTGGTTGAGGTGTAGGTTCAGCATAAGAAAATTAGTCTAGATATATTTTCTTATCTGAAAAAGATATTTTTCTGTCAGGTGCGATTTCAAAGTTGATTTTTTTGTTTTGATCTTCTGTCTCAGAAATTAAAGCTGACAAATTAAGCATTTTTTTTTATTATTATAAAGTTAGATATCTTTTCTAATGCAACAAGAGTATATTGAGGAGTTGGGTTCTAAATTAAGTTGAATAAGTT